CCAAGTCCTTCATAGACTGCTTTTCAGGATACTGTCTCACCTCTTGTACAGGTTGTCAACATTCTTTATTTCTAGATGTATGACATTAGCTTTTTATTTCCCTAGTCTTCTGAAGCTTCTCCAGATCTGTTAAAAGGTCAATATTTAGTGAGTGAGAAGGTTCTTTGGCCAATTCTTTTAATACTTATGCTTAAAAGTTATCCAGTCCTACTGATTTAAAATGATTAATAGTTGTATGGGAACAATAATTATTTTAATGGGAAGATACTGTAACCAAATACTGATTTTTAAGATAGAAAATTAAAATATTTACAGTAAAATCAAAGGGCCCGATTCTTAGTTACTCCATTCCTGGAAGTGACACAGAAACAAATTGGTAAAACACAGGGGGCTCCGACATTTTATTGTGCTCTTTTTTTCTTGTGCAGGGTTGCCTAGTCATTGGTGAGAAGCCTCAGGACTGCTTTAACTTAATGTTGGCTTCCTATACCCCAATGAGCCATAGGGCTAAAATATCAAAATGACCTATCTCCTCTGCTAAAGAGTTGAAAGCATGGCCAGTGAAGGGCATATACTTTAGTTATATCTGCAAGGTCCTCTGTAGAAAACATAGTTTCTAGCCATGTTACCAGAGCAGTATACAGTGTCTTTACTTTTATTGAGAAAATATCCTCTACATGTTTTAATTACCTATTAGTTCTTGGTGCCTAAATAGAAAATGCTCCTTCTGTAACCCAGAAACTACAGTGTTTTGTCCTTTCAGTGACATTTTCATTCATTTCATAGTGTCAAAGCTGAAGCAAGACCAGATTTAATGGCTATGAAAGGGAGTTAATTGGCTACTGAGTAACAACTTACTGCTTAAAGTACAGTTGGATTTACAGACCAGGAGATGGGGACAAGTGGTCCAACTAGTGCAAAGAACCTTGAAAAGCATTAGTGAAGGTTATAAAAAAATTAAGCACCTAATAATCAAATAAGATAAAACTGCATTTTCCATTTTCAGTTTACTTTATCTTATTCTTTTTCTAGAAACTACTTTAACATGAAAGGATATATTTTAAAATCTCCATAATTTTCTGTGAATTTTAACTTTAATGAGTTACCTTCCATTAACAGTAAGACACTTTGTAGTGTGCATTCATTTCTGCACTTTTCAAGCTCCTGAAGATGCTCAGCATCTGTCAAATTTACGTTTTTGAGCTTTATTCATTAATATTTACTTTAAATGAGCCTGATCAGTGACATTAATCTGTTGAACTTTGCTGGGAAACGCCAACTATATAAATCATTAGGATTTCTAATTGCCTATTTCTTAGACTTGGATCCTGAGAAACAATTTGCCTTGGCTTGAGACATCCCTTGGCTTATAAGGGTAAAATCATGGCCTAGTTGGAGTCTTGTTACTGACTTCTATGGGACCAAGATCTGACCCTTACAAAGTATGAGCTAAATCCTTGAAATACTCCTCCACTGGTACAGGCCTACTTTGTGGGATATAATCCTCAGTATCTAAAGATAAAATCTTGGCACTTTTGAAGACAATAACAAAACTGACATTGACTGGTGTGGCCAAGACATCACCTAAATTCTCTTTTATGTCCTAGAGTAGTGGTGTTCTCACTTTTGGCCCTGTGGGCCTAATGAATGGCAGGGGGCTAGTATGCAGACTGGATTCAGCCCCATGCTATTCCTGTGCACTAGGACCCCTGCCACCTCTGCACTGCACCAGGACTCTCCCCAGGATCCCTCTACCTCCAGTGCTTTCACCTGGCTGGAGCCCAATCCTGGCTGGGGGAGAGCAGTGTGGGTTCCAGGGCCTAATCTTGGTGTATGGGGTCTTAGCAGAGGGGGGCAGGGCCCCTGGAGCCTAGTCCTGGCTCTGTGGCACAGGTAGCCTCTGCCCAGCCGAGATCAGGCTCCAGGGTCCTATGCTGTCCCTGCTCAGCTGGGAATGGGGGAAGGAACATTGCTCCCACCTGGCCCCTGCATGCCAGGATCAGGTTCCATACCACCCTGTGCACCCGATCTAGTGCACAGGCTCATGGCTTATGGGACTCCACACAATATCTGTGGGGACCCCTGTGAGTCACATCTGGTCTCTGGGCCAGGGGTTAAGCACCCCTACCCCAGATTCATCTGAGGGAGAGAGACTTGCTAATCAGGTTAACATTTTGTTTCTATCACCACCATCTTTTCAAGATCATTAAGGTAAAGTAGGGAAGAGAGAACCTAATATTTCCAAGGTAGTGTATACATATAAGGGGAAATGTTGGAGAGGGTGGTATTATGGGCTTATGCAAACTTCCACAGATATATCTGCCAAAGCATTTCTGCCCTAATTTATATCATTTACCTGATGAGTCTCAAGAAGCAATTGATGCATTTCAGCAAAACTGGCCTATATGGAGTTATGTAAGCAAATGTCCACTTTCTTTTCTCCTGTGACCTGCTGAAAGGAAGACTGTACCATACATTTCTAATATCAGGTTACATATTTCATTATTGTGACAGAACACCCTTTAGGGTGTCTGTCAGTTTAAGGGCTGTAGCAGGGAGCTGGCAGGTGGCTAATGAGAGTGGCCATTTTGGGAGAGCTCTGTTATAAGAGCAGAGCATTTTGAGATCAGCCAGCTGGGAGTAAAATTACTTGGTGGAGCTCCTGCTCCAGGAATATCTCGGAGGTAAGGGTGAGGCTATGGGGAAGGAGGAGGCCTCATTGGTCCTGGGCATGACCTAAAACTGTACCCTGCCAGGATAGGGAGGCCTGGTGGGCTTGCCTGTGGCAGGGCAGGACTACATAAATACCAGGACTGATCACCTCCCTGGTGTAAGGTGGGTCAGGGCACCTAAACCTCTGCCCCCATCTTTGGGTGGGTGACTAGGAGAGTTGGGGGGGGCAGGCATGTAGAGTAGCTTGTGTTGGACCCTGGAGGTGGGCTAGGCATGCTGAATGAGCAGCACTTGAACCCAAGGGGGTGTGAGACCCCAGGCCCTGAGAGTTGCAGGGCAGAGTTGTGGGGCCAGTTAAGCTCAGAGAGGAGCGGCTGAGTTGTAAGGGGTGGAAGACCCCAGGCCCTAGTGTAAAGGGGTAGAGTTGTTGCCTGAGAGAGGGGCGTAGTGGTCCAGTGAGGGGCCAGGGCGAAGTAGGCCCATAGTTGAGTAATTGCTCCCATTCAGGTGAGGGTCACAGGAGAGGCCCAAAAGCTGCCCCCATCTTTGGGTGGGTGACTAGGAGAGTTGGGGGGGGCAGGCATGTAGAGTAGCTTGTGTTGGACCCTGGAGGTGGGCTAGGCATGCTGAATGAGCAGCACTTGAACCCAAGGGGGTGTGAGACCCCAGGCCCTGAGAGTTGCAGGGCAGAGTTGTGGGGCCAGTTAAGCTCAGAGAGGAGCGGCTGAGTTGTAAGGGGTGGAAGACCCCAGGCCCTAGTGTAAAGGGGTAGAGTTGTTGCCTGAGAGAGGGGCGTAGTGGTCCAGTGAGGGGCCAGGGCGAAGTAGGCCCATAGTTGAGTAATTGCTCCCATTCAGGTGAGGGTCACAGGAGAGGCCCAAAAGACCATGCCAGGGCTGACCAAGGGGTGGAGAGAAAAGCCTGAGGACCTGTACAGAGTAGGGCAGAGTGAGTGTGACCTGGATAGGCAGTATGCAAGAGACCAGGTGAGAGTCGGTGGAGTGCAAGAGGCCCTGGTGAGAGAGGGGTGGTGTGGCCCCAAAGCAGGCAGTATGATAAAGATACAACTGTGTACCCAGTTTGGCCTGGCCCTGAGCCAGAGTATCATCACATGGTGAGACATCCGTGAGGCATGGGACACATATGCAGATCGTAGGAGCATGTACTAATCACCCACAGTCTTTTGGGTGCACGAAGGGCAGCTTCCCACCTATTTGACATCATAACCACTTATCAACAAGGCATGGCAGGTGAGCAAGGCAGGTGGTTTGCCCAGAGACAAAGGCGGGGCCATACTAATACTGGGCCTGGAAGATGCCTTTGTCACAATTATACTATGTTATGTATTTTATTTTAGATCGGTTATATTTAAGATTCTTAATCTATTATAGTTGGTACCAAATACTGTAGTAATTTATAACAGAAAAGTAATTTAGACCTGAGACTGAATTTTCTGTTTACTGTTACCTTACCCTTAACTCATGCTTTTCTTCAAAGGTATTGCAGCATATTGGCCAACATGTCTTGTAATATTTTTGTGTAAATTGGATGAGCGGGATATCTGTGTTTATTTTGCATTTCAAGACCTTCCTCCAGTTTGGTCTCTTCTTTTCCTCTATTAAAACTATTTTCTGCTTTGGTAGATACATTACATATGACCCATATCATGCATAATTTGCATAATTTCTGATAAATAAGCAAATGAGTATAGCAGAGTTGGTCTATGCTACTGCTGTAAATATTAAACTGCTAAATGTTTCATTTTGCAGTCATGCACAAAGTGTTTTATCAATGTATTTTTGAATAAGCAGAGGGACTAGTAGCTATCTTTCAGTGCATGGCTAAATCTGATTTTTGTTTGTGACCAGCATGAATGCTGACCTTTGCCTTCTTGAATGATCTTTGCATCTCTTAGAAAGTTCATGAAAAGGTCACAGAGCTGCATTGACTTCCTCTGTATGTGTGGACATGTTTCTGCCATTGAGCTGATGAAAGGGCTGGCCTTGCCCATTCAGTGCTTCACCTTTTATTTTTCATGGAAATCTGAACGGCAAGTACAGCTATCCCAACAATAATGAAAGTCTAGAAAAGAAAAAGAACACATCATTTTATATAAGTCAAATGTTTTAAGTCTTGCTTTTCTTTGGAAATCTCCTCATATATTCTTTTCCTAGTCTGTGTATTAATTGTGATACATTCTTAGCATATGAAAATACTAATACATATCATGCATGATTTACAAAAAACCCAAAGGGCTAAAATGCCATGGCAATTTAGAACCAAAACAAATTAATAAAATAACTGAAACGATTTCCTTTTTTACAGATGCATATTTAAAGAGTCTGAATTATTCCTCTAGATTATGTTGACATAGTTGATCAACAAAATAAAAATGATTTCTTGTATATTCTTTAGATAATTCCTTTCAAAGACAAGTTCCATGTTGCTTGTCACTGTAAAAGAAGGTTATGAATCTCATGAAAGCTTCTCTGCTGACACATCAGTTGTGGAGGCACCAGTTTTCCAAATCAGACCGCAGAAAGCAGCACAGTTAGAGGGTTTTAAATCTCTGCTCAGAAACTATTTCTATTTACAAACAGCAAGAATAGCTCTAAAATTGTGAAAAATGCATCCAAGTCATATTTAGAATGATTGTATGTGGGGGATATAACAATACTTTTCAAGACTGTAAGCACTACATATATTCATATCTTATGCTATTTATCTTGCAGATATACTGCACTGGAAGTTCCTTGCTGTTAGCTGGTAGGCTCGTAGCACTGAGAAGGAAAGATCTCTAGGTTTGTCAGTGGCCGTATATCACTGCAGCTGTGCCCTTTGATTACACAGAGGGCTCCTCCAGCCATTAATAATAGGAAACACTTTTTGTCTGGTGAATGCATCTGAACACAATTCTCTAACACCTAGGCTATTCAGTGAGGTAGAAAAGGTAAATTAAAGATGGGACCTGTTTGTTTTATAGTTACACTAGATGTGTAAATGGGGATAACCTTTGCTCACTTCTAAAAAAAGAAAATATGTTCTTTTTCTTACCAGCCCCATGTGTTTCTGCATTTTATGCTAACATATCACATTAGCAGATACTTCTTGCCTAGTTAAAAGTACTGATGGATTACATTGCCCCTCCCATGGCATTCATTAACGGCATGTCTATACATGCTTTTATGCACGCCTAACTTAATGCGCATTTGCCTAATGTGCATTAAGATGATTTAAGCACACGTGTACATGTCCAGGCGCTAAGGCACATTGACACTGTGTGTGGACTGCCTTTTAGGTATCAAATTTAGGTACAAATGGCCTAAAATTGCCATTCTTAATGTGCATTAAGGGCGCTTATGTGTAGACATGTGCCCTTAATGCACCCTAAAAATGGCTAATGCGCCTTAAATCAGCATTTGTAGATGCACTCTATAAGTACTATCTGCTGATGTCTAGGGACCTACTTAATTTGTGATTTTTGCTGATTGCACGAAGCCAAGGGAGGTGGTGCTGTCCCTTTCCTTGGAGGTGTTTAAAAGGAGATTGGACAGATACCTGGCTGGGGTCATCTGACCCCAGTGCTCTTTCCTGCCCAGGGCAGGGGGTCGGACTCGATGATCTAATAGGTCCCTTCCAAGCCTAACATCTATGAAACTATGATAGATTTGTTACATAATAATTACATCACATGACATATTATATTAGCCATGCTACACCCACTATTCAGGTGTGTCAGTGTAAATGTTTTAAAAAATGGGAATAATTAGAAAAAAATTAATATAAAGGTTGAAAGAAGCTGTGAGTATCAGTACAACAAAGCAGATTTAAGTATCTATTTTTTTCCTGTATGAGAGATTTTGAAAGATTGGAAGGTTCTCAAATGGTATAAATCATTTAGTTCCATCTCATAATGTCTTGGACACAGTAAGAAAAGCTGAAATGTTCATCTCAACTTTATGTTTCTTCATATGCCAAAACCTGGTTTAAACATGTAATATTAAGTATGTGAAGTCAATGGAAATTTGGGTACAGAAGAAATGAAAACTTGGGCCCATAAGGAGTAGGTGTTCTTCTGTCTATACATTACTTCAAAACTTTTATTGACAAAGGAAAGCAATGCATTGGGAGGATCATAACTGGTTTTAAACCACAGGGAGACAGTCTGAAATATGAGAGTCACTCTTCAGTTATTCCAACTCTCTCACAATAAGGTGTCATGTCTCTTTACAGTTCCTGAAACAGTGCTGCCCTATTTACATATTTTGGTAGTTCACAGTTACCTTGTTGATAGTCTTGTGACTACTCCAAAATATGTTCCTCTTAAATCTATTTTGACAATTTATTTAGGTCATGGAGTCGGGATTTAATTTCCTCATGTTTAGATTTATTCCCAAAAGCTGTAAAATAAAGAGAGCATATTCTTGTTGCTGATTCAGGCTGAGAACTAGAAATCTCTAAGCTGCATGGCCCAGCTAGCATTTTCTTCCTGTATTTACAGTCTTATTTTCTTCATGATTTTAGGAGTTGGAATGTTTTTAAGTATCACAGAATGTTCTACAGGATACAATAAGTGGGTGTGTGACAGCATTTCTACCCATCCAGAATTCTTGGATGTCCTGCTTAATCGAGTCCTGTCAATAGGCACTAAAGTACTATATCACTGTTGGAACTGCAGTAAATCCTTTGCAAAAGAACACATCCTGAGTTATGTGACTAATATAACATACATGCAATAAAATATTTCACTTTTATATAGCACCTTTCCCCAGAGACATAAAAGAGGTAGCAATAGTATTTTTTAGCTGTGCATATAATCATACATTAATTAATTGGACACAGTGCACTAAAGTTTAAGTTATGCTTTATCAACTAAGATGGTGTATTTTTACTGAATAAAGAAAACAGAGAAAGATAGCATTTTGCTATTTTTCAAGTCTAGCTGCCCCAAATATTGTTAATTTGTTGGTGGCTAGATTTAAATTATGAATTCTTTTGCTTTTAAAGCTAAGGGGAATAGATCCCTAAATTTGTTATCAAGCAATAGTGATATACTTTAAAAAAATGCACAGCATCTTGAAAGTTTGGTTTCATATCACCATTCATATTCCTGAGAAATAGACATGTCTCACACTCCGTAGCAGTTTTTTGTGACATTTGGATTTATAATGCTCAAGTTTAAGTCTCTAGCCCCTTGCAGTCTGTCAAAAACGGCTTCTCTGTCCATTTATTTTTGTCTTCTGTGCTCAGTCTGAATATCTTTTGTAAATTTATATTTGACAACCCTCGTATTTCAGTAGGTAGCTTTGTTTCACAATCTACCTTGCTTGCTCTGTTGCATTAGCTGAAACAACAAATTTAATCCATGATGTCAATAGTAAATTATAGTGGCAATGTAATATATGTCTGACATCACTGAGGTCAAGGCCATGGTGAAAATATTTCAAATAAAGGATTCAAAGGGTCTTCTCATAGGGGTAGAAGCTTGCTACACACTTAATGTCACAAGAGAGAATAATGCAGCATACTGCATTATGTTCAATTTTTAGTTACAGCTAGCATAAAACTTTGTCTAATGTAAGAGCACTCCTACAACATGAAAAGATAGTCTAAAGAAGTTTGCTAGGTAGTTATATTTCATATTTGCTAAGTGATAAATAATTAAAACAAGAATTACTTTTCTGAAAAGATTCATTTAGAGCACACATTTTCCATTACGCTGGCTGTTTGGAGGGGCTGGGGGGAAACATTCATTGCATACCTACCTAAACTACCTTGCCATTAAAGTATCTAAATTACCTCAGTGAATTCTGAGCACAGAAGTGGTTGATGAATTGCTTTTGCATAAATGCACTTTCCTTTGCTAGAACCTAATTTTGTGTATAAAAACACAGAGAGAGAGAGAGAATAAAGCAACCACTGAACTCTCTCAAGAAGAAAAATTGAAGCCTGGAATTTTCTCTGTGTAATGAAGTTTTTCTAAACGCTGCTTGTATTATAAGTATCCTCAGACTCTCTGAGGACAAGCCAAAAATGGGTTCTTCTCCAA